ACGAGTCGAGCTTATAGCTCGTTTACTAAACGAGTTAAGATGAACAATCAAATAATTCAATTCCAAAATAACACCCTAATAATGTGGCACTTGGAAAAGTTTTAGATTCCCCAAAACTGCAAATACTGAAACAATGAATACTGTTCCTCTACCCACGGTGAACACATGTTAATATGTTCATCGTTTATGTGGCATTCACACATTGCTGATGTTAATATGTTCAAAAGAATACATCATTGATGAGTGCACGCCACATAAGCAGTCAACACATTAACATGTGCCCACCGTGGGTAGGTGAACATTACTGTCGAAACAATACGGGGTTGGGGCAAAGTACCACGGAAAAAGTACCCCAACGATTTTTTCAGTAATAAAAACCAAAACCAGGCGTAAAAAAGCAGCACCACACAATTTCATCTGCCTCAATTATTATTATTATTAAAAGCATAAAGCGAACAAAAACAAAAGGTAAATTTAAATATAACTTTTGGCTCTGCACATAAATTACAAACGGAAATAAAAGATAAAAATAAGATATTTTTCTATACTTAATCAATTAATTTATTTGTCTTTTTTTTTAATCCAATAACAATAAAGATAATGTTTTTCTATTATTAGTTGGTTTATTTTTTATTAATTAATTTATTTAGCAGAAAACAAAATGAAACCAAAAAAAAAAGCAGTGACAGAAAGATTACTTGAAGCAGAACACCCAAAAAAAAAAAAAACTGTGCAATTCAGAGCCCTTGGGTGAATTTTTCCCTATTTAATTTATCTTCTTATATAGTCAAAATAAAAGCTAAGAAATTGTTCCTTAATAATTCCACAACTTCAATAATTCCTAAAAAAAAAATGAAACTAAAATAAGCAAATCCCACTTCAGAAAAATAAAAAAAAATAAAATAAATAAATAAATAAATAAATATTAAAAAAAAATAAAAAAGGTAAGAGAATATATATTTGAATTTACCAAATCAACAGTCTCATTCTTGATCTCTTCAAGGGTGAGGAGGCCCTTGTCACCACCCATGTTTGGTCCCACCTATTGCTATATATATTTTTCAATTTTATTTTTCTCCAATAAATGGGAAAATGGAAAATTTTGAAGAAGGGTGAAAAAGAAGAAGAAAGAAAGAAAGAAGCAATTTTAAGTGTGTGTGTGTGTGTGTGTGTGTGTGTGTTTTGGGGATGATGTTTTTTGATGGCTATACCCTCTCTTTTTATACCCTCTCCACAAATGATACCATATGATTTATCCCTTTGTAATAATAACACCCTTCCTCAAATGGCTCTTTTTTTTCTCTTTTACTATGTATTAATTAATATAATATTCAGAAACTTTTATTTATGTCATACCTTGTTATTTGATACTCAAGTTGTCAGTTGTTAACTGATTGCATTAGTTGTTTTAACCAATTAATTGTGTTAGCAGTTTGATTTTTGTTAAAACTAACAATCCCACTTTTCTTTCTCCATAATATAATTATTCCATTCAACAATAATGTAAAAAACAATAAAAAAGAAACAAATAATGCTTTGTTTGGACTGGATATGCAAACGAGTCGAATCGCGAGTCGAACATTGATCTTATCGAGCAGGATTGAATTTTTTTTAACTGCTCGAGCTCAATTTATGAGGCTCGAGCTCGACTTGATAAAGAAATACAATAGCTCGAACTCGACTCGAGTTTGACTCGAAAATTTTTAAGTGAAATTACCGTTACTCACTTGTGTTATACTATTTAAATATATATATATGGAGTATTTTAGTAATTTAATATATCTTGAGCAGTTCGACAATGCAAAATATGAGCTCGACTCGAGTTGGTCAAACTTGAACTCGAGTCGAGCTTTGACTTGAGAGCTCGCGAGCTGCTCCACTCGTTTGCAGCCCTTTTAGACCATACAAACTTGGAAAAAAAAAAGATTACGGGTCCAATTGAATAAAAAGTATTTTCTTTCATCCCCCAGTAAAAAAGATAACTGAAACAAAAAAAAATATATATATATATATATATATATAAACTATTGACAATTTTAATGGAACAAATTTTGATATATAAAACAACAATAAAAGTAAATCTTATATATATCCACTTTCCAATTTATTTGCCAATTGATCTCATACATACTGCATAAATTAAATCATTTCATCAAACATACATATAATGTATGTGCAGTTCACATGAATATAAGTTAAAATGGCATCATACGGATTATAACATAATAGTAGCATTCACACAATTTAGTATTAATTTATGTTAAGTGCTTACGTCATCATTATCATGTGCAACCAAATTTTTTGTACTGTTTTAGATAATTTTTCTTAGACTAACATTATCAGTGACCCCGACCTGGGGTCACAAATTAAAAAAAAAAATAAAAAAAAAAAAGAAGGTCGTGACCCAGGTCACATTGTGACCTTGTGTCGCGACCTGTTAATGGGACATTTGTCCCATTTTGAGAAGTGTATTTTTTTATTTAAAAAAAATAAAAAAATATATTAAAATTTATATTTTTTCATTCTCTACAAATAGAGACCACACTTGATATATTTTGAAATAAAATTATAATTTATAAATAAAATAAATATTTAGGTTGAGTTGGGTTGGGGATAAAGATAAATTGGATTATAAGGTTGAGTTGTGTAGGTGGAGGAGAGAGAAATAATTTTTAATTATTAAGTTGAGTTGGTTTAAGTTGCTGATAAAGATAGTCTTAGCTAGAGTCGAGTCAACTAACAAGAATTGACCTTTTTTTATTTACAGTATTTTTTTTTAAAAAGTTTATGACTTCCTGATTTGATTTTGGTCACAACTAATAAGACTAAAAAAAAAAACCATAATTAGCATTAACACATATAAGTCAATATATACACGGAGAATGTTCTTCTACCTACGGTGGACACATGTTAACATGTTCATCTCTTGTGTGACATGCACACATTGGTTGGTGATGTTAATATATTCAAAAAAATATATCACCAATGTGTGCATGCCACATAAGCGGTGGACATATTAACATATGTCAACCGAGGGTAGGAGAGCATTACTGATATATACACTCCTATATAGTAGATTCCCTCTTCCAAATTAATCAAACTTATTGCCATCATTAATTTGTAAATAAATTAAATTGAGGATGAGTTTATTTATTATAATTTGGTTATATAGGTTTACCTTAATAAATAAAATAGATTAAATAAGATAACTATTATGCAACTTCTTGTGAATGGAGAGTGCTTTATACCCATCTATATATATATATAAAAAGATTTACTATTTTATAAATTTAGCAAGTTTTTCCCGCCAAATCATTAATTATATCTT